CCGCGAGCGCGGCGGCGGGGGAGGGGCAGGCCTGCGGGCGCCTCGGCCCCGGCCCCGGCGTGACGTCACGGAGCGCCTTGCCCAATCGGCTGCCCGTATTGGCCTCTTAAAGGCGCAGAGTATCCTTTCCAGATCTAGGCGGACGAAAAAAAAAAAAGGGAACCAGAGGCCACGCATCCCTGTCCCGCCCCTCGGTACCCCTCTCGTCCGCTCTGCCAGGGTGGCGGCGGGACGCCGTGTCCAGGCCCCTACTCGCGTGTCGCGGCCTGAGTAGCGTTGGCCGAGCGGGACTGCTGACCACACCCGGGTCCTCCCCGAGCCCAGCGGCCTCGCAGCGGCCCGGCTAGCGCTCCACATGGTGGATGGAGGTGGGGCTCCTTCCCCCCCCTTGGCCTGCTCTCCCCTGCAGGGCCCGGAACTTCCCTCATTTTTCTGAGTCTTGTGGCTTTATCCCCATTTCATTGGTCAGAAGACTGAGTAGCAGAATGCCAGAGGAATGTGTCCAACGCGAGAACAAGAACACTTCTCCCTGAGACCTCCCATCTGCAGAGGTGAAAAACGGCTCTGCCACCTTAAGGAACGTTCCCAGATTTTGAACCCAGCTGTCTGCCTCCAGACCCCAGTTCCTTTAACTACAACTCAAAATATTGTCATGATTATGATCCAAATCTTCAGTTTAGCAGGCGAGCCAACCCCTAAACAATTCCAAAAGAGAAAATTTTCTCCACTGTCAAAAGTGGGGAAAAATTGCCTATGCCTCAGAGACTTGGGACAATTGACGACAATGGCTTAGCACGGTTCCTGGCACAGAGGAAGTGCCCTGCTGAATAAATGTACAAGGGGCTAAAGGAATTGAGTTCTCCAAGGAGTCAGGATGAGTTGTTGTTGAGTGCTACCGAGTAGATTTTTTTTACCCCATGTGACAGAGTAGAACTGCCCCCATAGGGTTTTCTTGGCTGTAATCTTCACAGAAGCAGATCGCCAGGTCTTTCTCCCACAGAGCCGCTGAGTGAGTTTGGACTCCCAACCTTGTGGTTAGCAGTCGAGCGCTTAACCGTTGTGCCACCAGATCTAGAAATTGCCAAGTCCAGTTGCTGCCGACTCATGGCAACACCACGTGTGTCAGAGTAGAACTGTGCTGCACAGGGTTTTCAGTGGCTGATTTTTTGGAAGTAGATCACCAGGCCTTTCTTCCAAGGAGCCTTTGATAGACTTGAACTTGCAACCTTTCCATTAGCAGCCTAGCCTTTTAACCATTTGCACCTACTCAGGGACTCCAGAAATTGCCAAGATTCAACTGCTTTTTGACCTATAGAAACAGCAATTTCATATGGTTCAACCTAATGGTTGACACTTGGGGAAAACTGTCCAGGTTTCAGGGATCCAGTCTGAGGTGGGAGTCGGGGCACCAGGAGGGCAGGTGAGACCACTGGCGAGCAGCACCCACCGTAATCCCAACAGGGCCTCTGAGTCCTCCACAGCCGCTCTGGGCTCAGCTTTGGAGCACTTTCACTTCCAGATTTGGGTGGGGGCTGAGTGCCAGCCCCACCCTCTTCCTGATAAGGGCCTCCTGATGAGGAGCGTGTGTGGTGTGAGGGACAAAGGGCTCTTACCGAAACGGATTTGCTCACTCCTTCCCTAGATGTTTGCAGGAAGGGATGGGCCAGATGGACTGGACACTTCCGGATATGAGTTTGAGACTTCCTCCTTTGCCCAAACCCCCTCTCCCAACTGTAGTTGTGAATGTCTTTAAGTCCACCTTTTTTTTTAAATTGTTCTTTAAATGAAAGTTTACGGTTCAAGTTAGTTTCTCATACAAATATTTATATACACACTGCTATGTGACCCTAGTTGCTCTCTTCTTACTGCGACAGCACACTCCTCCTTTCCACCCCAGATTTCCCGTGTCCGTTCAACCAGCTCCTGACCCTCTGCCTTCTCATCTCGCCTCCGGACAGGAGCTGCCCATTTAGTCTCATGTATCTACTTGAGCTAAGAAGCACACTCTTCACAAGTATCATTTTATGTCCCATAGTCCAGTCTAATCTTTGTCTAAAGAGTTGGCTTCGGGAATGGTTTTAGTTTTGGGCTAACAGAGAGTCTGGGGGCCATGTCTTCTGGGGTTCCTCCAGTCTCAGTCAGACCGTGAAGTCTGGTCTTTTTACATGAATATGAGCTCTGCACCCCACTTTTCTCCTGCTCCGTCAGGGACTCTCTGTTGTGTTCCCTGTCAGTGTGGTCATTGGTGGTTGCTGGGCACCATCTAGTTCTTCTGGTCTCAGGTTGATGGAGCCTCTGGTTTATGTGGCCCTTTCTGTCTCTTGGGCTCATATTTTCCTTGGTCTTTGGTGTTCTTCATTCTCCCTTTGCTCCAGGTGGGTTGGGACCAACTGATGCATCTTAGATGGCCGCTTGCTAGCTTTTTGAAAGTCCACCTTTGGAGTTGCCTTTCTTTATCTGAAGACTTTTCTTATTGGTAAAATCTTAAATGCCCAAACACATTCGACACAGCAATTCCACTTCTGGATATGTGTATAAGCATAATTGTAGTATCCGTTATAATAGATAGGAGCCCTGGTAATGCAGTGGTTAAGAGCTTGGCTGCTAACCAAAAGGTTGGCAGTTAGAATCTACCAGCCACTCCCTGGAAACCCTATGGGGCAGTTCTATTCTGTTATATAGGGTTACTATGAGTCACAATCAACTTGACGGCAGTGGGTGGTTTGGTTGTAATAAATTCACTGTTATCGTTAGCTGCTGTTGCATGGCACTGACTCACGGTGACCCCATGCACAACAGAAGGAAACGTTGTCTGGTCCTGCACCATCTTCATGGTCGTTGGAATGTTCAAGTCCATTGTTGTGGCCACTGTGTATTTTGAGTGCTTTCCAACCTCTGGGGCTTACATCGGACAATATTCTGGGTTTTCATTAGCTAATTTTTGGAAGTAGATTGCCAGGCCTTTCTTCCTAGCCTGTCTTAGTGTGGAAGCGCCACTGAAACCTGTCCACCATGGGTAACCATGGCTGGTATTTGAAATACTGGTGGCATAGCTTCCATCATCATAGTAACACACAAGCCACCCACAGTACGACAAACTGACAAAAGGGTGATGGGATAAACTCATTAGAAACAATACAATATCTAACGAGAGAAAATTCATTGAATATGTTATAGCCCCAAATATAATGGAACACTATGCCAGATATTTTAAATGATATAAATAAATATATGTTGACATGGAAAGGTGTCCCTGACATACTGTTGAGTGGAGAGACAAATTTTAAAAGTATCAGCAGTTTAATATCAATTTCACAAAAATAGATTTTTATATATATACATATTTGTGTATGTGTGTAAAAATGTCCGAAAGGGCACCAGAACATTAACGTTGGCGATCTCTGGGTGGGGTGGTTTTTGTTTTTTTCTTTTTGCCTCTCTATATTTTCCCATTTTTCCAAAATAAATATGTATGCAGGGGCATCACTAGGGTTGGTGTCACCTAATGCAGTGGTAACTTACGGTGTCACCCCCACCATGGACCTCCTTCTGAACCAAACCATACAGAATCCTTAGTAATGTTAATTATCAATTTTAATCATGGAATAATATGTGATAAATATAACTGTAAATTGCTTAAATGTAATATTTCTTAGATTATATGAATACTAACAACAAAATTGTTTTGTAAAATCTTTCCACACTGAATTACAACATTATTAGTAACTGAGTAGAAGCCTGTTTTGATTTTTCTCCTTTTAATTACTACTTCATTCGCAAAAAAGTTATTGATATGGATTCACAAATACTAATTACCACAGTATTGAAGCTAAAACAGCAGAAAATTTGACAAAATTAGTGACTATAAAATCACCAGCAACTAGAAAAACAATGTGTGCTTGTGGCGCGTGCAGACCAAACTGTGACTCCAGGCGTCACTGTAATTGGGTAATAATGACAGCTCTGACCAGAGCACCTTAGAAATTCAAAAAGTAAATTAGCACACAGTTTTAGCCTTGTAGGTATGTTGATTGGAGCCCTGGTGGTGCAGTGGTTAACAGCTAGGCTCCTAACCAAAAGGTTGGCGGTTCGAATCCACCAGCCACTCCTTGGAAACCCTATGGGGCAGTTCTACTCTGTCCTGTAGAGTTGCCATGAGTCAGAATTGACTGGACGGCAATGGGTTTGTTTTTTTTTTTGTTGTTGTTGTTGGTTTAGGTATATTGATACATGTAAGCTAGCCTTATGAAAAATGTTTTTGTTGTTATAACTAACTTCAGGGATATTCTTATAAAAAATAAAAAATGGTAAAAATTCTGCTGAAACACTGCACAAAAATTTGATAGACAGTCACTTGGGTGTCACCCCCTCTGACAGTGTCACACCTCTGACAGCAGTCTGCACCCCCTACACCACCCTCATGATGTCACTGATGCATTATTTGTATAAATTTGATTTAAATTTTCACAATTAAACATCAGTTCCCTGGAGGGAGGTAAGCCCTGAAGGCTGAGGTTGCAAACTGGCAGCTCCTGCGCCATGGTCAGTGCACATACATGCCTTGTTTAATCCTCCCCAGAAGTTCCTAGAAGACTGTGTCAGAGAAGAAACAAGATTTGAGGGAAATCAC